TTGAACCCCTAAACCCGAAATCCTAAACCTCTGCAGGCCTTTCCCGAGCAGGACGTTTTCCTTTTGCGCTCTGAACTCCCGGGCGGATGGGGCCCTGAAGGCGTCTGCAGGGTTTAGGGTTTAGGGTTTAGGTTTAGAGTTATTTATAGGGTTTAGGGTTGAGTGTGTGTTTAGGCTTCAGGGGTTTAGGGTTCACAAGGACCCTAAACCCTAAAGACGCATTCAAGTATGGTTCTGGATAAATAGACCAGCGCCCAGTCACCCTCTCATATACCCCAAATATCCACTGCTAAGCGCCATGCCATACGGTCTCCATGAAGGGCCCTTGGGGGTGCTGGTACGGCTTACGGCTTTAGGTTTAGAGTCTACAGTTCGAGGGGTTGAGGGTTTTATGGTGTTCGGGTTCAGATCAGGAGGTTCTGTAGGGTCAGTGGTTTACGCTTGCGAGCTGGGGGTTGTGGAGAAGTGCTATTGGGAAACCCTAAGGCTTAGATTTTGCAAGTCCGGTTGCTAGATGGGAGTTTCCGAAATTCAGGGCTACTTTGTTTCGGGCTCCTTATAAGTATCTATTATTTAGGGCACTATATTAGGGTCCCCTATTTTCGCAAACTCCCAGATGAGACTAGAAATCCTTCACTGGTGGTCGAAGCCCTCAAGCCGATGGTGTTCCGCATCTAATAAGACCCCGAGCCCTCAGATTCCGAAAGCTCCAGCCTTTGACAGATCCCGTTACCCCAGGGTCCAAATACCTAATCATCATATACTCTCCAAAATCCTAACCTACATAGCTACTATCCTAAAACCGAGTACCTAATTATTGGGTCCTTCTGACCCCTTCGGGTTAGTTTAGGGCTTCCGGTTCAGAGCCTGCTGTTTAATAAAGGTCTGTTTAGGGGTCAGTCGTTTAGGCTTTACCTTAACCCCGAAGAACCTACACGTTTAAGGACTTCTATAAAGAAATCATAAGAAGGAGCCCGAAAAAGGTAGGTTATTCAGGGTAAAGGTTGGTGTTCTGCATATTCAGGTAAACACTAATTTCATCCCACAGAATTACTAGTTACCCTCTACCCTAGATCCATCAGCGCAAGGTGCGATGTGCAAGTTCAGCGTCGTCCAGGAGGAGATGGGTCCTGGATTACTGCAGCCAAGCGATCGAGGGTTTAGCTGGTTTAGGAGTGTAAAGGTTTAGGGTTTATGGGGTTATAGGGTTTAGGGTTATAGGGTTTAGGACTTTAGGGGCTTTGGGTTTAGGGTTTTAGGGTTTAGAGTTTTAGGGTTTTAGGGTTCAGGGTTTTAGGGTTTAGGGTTTAGTGAGGTTTAGAGTTTGTGGCTCGCCTAGGGAGGTGTTGACTTCTACAGGGCTTTAGATCAGAATCGACGAGAATGCACGTGCATACAAACAGAAAAGCACATGGCTCCATTATTCCCTGCAGCCCAGAGAAGCCTCACACACACACACACACACATTGTAAAAACTCATTTAATTTTGACCTTCATCGAAGTCGTAGAACTCCGCATTGACCGCCGGGGCCTAAATCCTGAACATCGCCCCTCCGGCTGCATTTCAGAATCAAGCCCCGGAAGATTTCAGCAGGAGAAAGGGCGCGCAGCACGAAAGGTGACACTGCTCGGGGCCGCTGGCAACCAAGTGCAGCAGATGTTCCGCGGCTGTAGAGTTTAGGGTTGAAGATGTACGTACACAGCCGGTACCGGCCTGTAATTTCTGTCTTGTTTTCCCCGGGTACCTTCGTAAGATTTAGTTATAGGGTATGCGTTGCCCTTAATGTTACTACATAGGATCCTCTGAAAAGCCGGATGTGAACTACGGTCCGTTGATGTACCTCAGACCGCGAACCCCCCACACCCCAGTCCGTTTGTTGTTTCCACGCACGCACAACCATAAATTGAACACGAGTGGAAGATCGAGAAGCAGCAACCTCATTCCTCAGCTCCCATAGAGTTTAGGGTCCACAGTCTTTTGCGGTTTGGGTGTAGGGGTTCAAGGGAATTGCAACATAAAAGCCCTAATTATTCTGATTTCTGCGGCTGAACAACATTCACTATGAGTGCTTTCGGCAAAGATGTGCCGAGGAACCACTAAGGAGATTGAATTTCGCAAAGACATATAAACATGTTTGAAGTAGGCAAAAGGCAGTATCATTGAAGGCTTCACCTTTTGATCCTGGCATGTTGAGGCGGAAGCTTAGAGCTTAGGTAACGTGTCACACAGCCAGAGGCAAGACAAAACTATTGGGCAGGGCAATTGCCATGCAGTTAAAAACGGATCTTTGATATGGTGTACCGTACACTACGCCTCTGCCTTTGCTCCTAAACCACATGTAACGCTTGTTGGGTCTCTGAGCCCCAAACCCTAAGCCCTAAGCCCCCAAAGTTATGTTGCGGCTGCTGAGTTTGCAACCTAACACGTGACGAGGGACCCAGATACCGGATTCATCTCGCTTCCAAGAAGACCCACAGGCTGCGACAAGATGCCCTCAAAGGTACTTGCCAGAGACTCCAATACCCCTTAATTAAGGAATATTCCTTAAATCATATTAGGGATTCTACTAGAATTTAGGGTATATTCCTTAATTAAGGGATATTGGAGTCTCTGGGTTCGTTTATGCATCCCATACCAGTCCAAGCCGTCCAATCCTGCAAAAAGTCAGAACCATGACGCTGAGCTCTGTCGGGGTCAAGACGATCGGGGGCCTCAAAAGGTAGGATGAAGGTAGGTGGGATATTCCCCACTAAGAGTCCTTATATAAGGAATCCTTATTCCCACCTGCCTTCATCCCACTGTGAGGCCTCCGAGACGAGTTGCTGTCCTCTAAACTTAGTGGGAACTCCAGAAAGTTGGAATATGGTTTCAGGGTAGGATACCATATAATTTACCATAAAGGGTTTAGGATAATCATATTCCAACTTTCCGGCTTTTACTTTAGTGGGTAGCGCTCTGGAAAGACCTCCGGCTGGCCCGAGGGCTGCTTCAACAGCCCAGATCACTTAGAGGCCCAGGGGACTTAGTAAGTAGGTTATAAGTAGGGTTATAATTGGGGTAACTCCAGTTAGTGTACTTATAACCCCACTTACAACCTACTTACTAAGTCCCCTGGGCCTCTAAGCACCCGAATCAACACGAAAGTTCGAGACCCTGGCCCCTGGGCCCCCGTAGACGTCCGAAACCACTAGGAAAAGATTCAACCCTACACCCTAGACCTTACAGAACCCTAACAAAGTTTCCTGAAACCTTTAACCCTAAAGGAACCCTAAAAAATAACCTTAAGAGGAACGCCTGAGTCCCAATCTTGCAAGCCTTGAGCCAGAGCCAAGGCTCTGGATGACCTCTGGCTTTGGCTGGGGCAAGGGCTGGGGAAAAGGCGGAGGAGGCAAGCCTCACTAATTACCTATGCTATTTTGGGGGCTCCTTTTTCTCATTATGGTATATGATACCCCAAAACCCTAGTCTAACTTTAAGGCCCCTATGGTTCCTTTTTATCATTATGGTATATGATACCCCAAAACCCTAGTCTAACTTTAAGGCCCCTGTAGTACTGTAGGGGTTTAGAGGATTACGGTCTCATGGGGCTCGGGGTTCAGACGGGTCATCGGTTCGTGTCTCCGATGTTCGCTTGCTTCTCGTCGAGTAGAGAGATACTTGGTCATAGTTGGGTAGCATTATACATTTTTATGGGTACTTAAAACCCAATAAGGAATAACAAATATTTTTAAATCCTATCCCAACCATGAACTAGGACTAGGATGTCGCGTTTTGTTTTCGTTGCTGCAGAAGTGGACATGATCGAGAGCAGTCCGTGAGCAACGACAGGGATGGTGGCATGTTTGGTTCATGTGTCTGTTCCCAGAGACTCCAATATCCCTTAATTAAGGAATATACCCTAAATTATAGTAGGATCCCTAATATGATTTAACGAATATTCCTTAAGGGGTATTGGAGTCTCTGGTTCGGTCTTCTTGCGCAGCTCGGCTCAGGCAAAGGCTACGGTGAAAAGGGCAGCTGAGCCTACAGTCTCCGAGAGGTGTGGTTCTTGCGTCATTGCACCTTTCAATTGTTTGAGAAAAGCCTGGGAGGCGCCACCAGGCAGAATGTACAGGGGTGTTCCCGCGTGCGTGAGCCACTATGACTGTTCCCTCTAGTGTCGGGACTCTGTCTACATTATGCCCTTTCCCAAATGAGCATGATGAGCCAAACCCTAATGAATCCCTCAAGGCAGAAGAGCTGGGCCATACAGTTCCCAACACGCCCAACACATCGACACCGCCCAAGCTAGCTTCGTGGAGGGGCTCATGGTGACACTATGTACCGGCTCTTATGCAGCGCGTTGCTCGATTTGGGAAAAGGGCCCGACGAACTGCAGTTTCTTCCGACACCCTAAGGGTCCATGTACCTAAATAGTATACTAGGATGCCCAGTAGTACCCTTATTCCCTTTTTTGAGGGTTCAGGTTCCCTTATAAGCCCCTTTAAACCAAAAAGGGCACCCTTTTTACTCCTAGGTTTCTCTAGGGTTTAGAATAGTATATACATTGGCCTTAAAGTAGTCCCGATATTATAGGTACATTGGGGCCAAAGTATATACTAGTTGGGTACATGGACCCTTAGGGGCACTCTCTTGGCGAAGTGACAGTAAGGTTCCAGGGTAGAGTTGCAGGGATGTGAATTTATCGTATATAAACGCATATATGCACGTATAAGAAATGGAGAACAAAGAAATGTAATACATATATAGATATATATGTAGATATCTACACATATAAGCAGAGAGACAGAGAGATAGAGATAGCTATATCGGTAGATCGACGGACCGATAGATCGATATATCGATCTGTCGATAGATCGATCGACCGACCGACGAATAGATAGATCAATAGATAGATAGATAGACAGATCGTCAAATGGATATATCGATAGATCGGTCGCCCGGTAGGTAGGTAGGGGCCTCGGAGGAAATCGTGGAAGCCCCCTCAAGAGCCGCCAAGGTTCGGCCTCACTACCATCGACTTTCTGAAGGCTCGGCCCGCGCTGTGTCTGAAAGCTACGAATGCTACAATATGGGAGTCTTCTAAAATTAGGGGCACGTACCTTATTTTGCGGTCCTGCGGGTTCCTTTAAGGGTCCTATAGGGATCTATAAGGCTATAAGGGCTTAAGGTTTTGGGTACCTTAATTTGGGGTACTTATACTAAGGATCCTACTATTGAGGGTATTAGATTAGGGTCCCCCATTTGCGGAAACGCCAAAGTCAGGGTTTTGGAAGGTTCATTTCGGGGCGTATAGCATCTTTCTATTTTCTAAAGCAATCTTTCTATTTTCTAAGTTGCCAAGCTTTTCTAGGGCTTTTGCAGGTAATTGCAGTTGCTCGTTGGGGGGCGTCGAAGCCCCGAGCCCCAGATGCTAAACTCCGAAACCGAAGATCCCAAAACCCAGCAGCTTGAGTCCAGTACCAGAGCGAGCATCAAAACCTCTACCTTGATCTGTCGCGATTTCTCTTGAAACCTTTGCCCTGCGAATGATAGACTTTTATAGGTTAGTTTTGGGCCAGTGTTTTATTTACTTTTGGGGGTCTAGGTAAACACCTCAAGTTCTGTTATCTTGCATGCAAGCTACGCAACGGTAGTTAGCGCCTTGAGACCCACATAATAGGTCTAGAGGGTTCCTTTAAAGGGGTCTATAAGGGTTACTATCAGGGATCTATAAGGGTACGATAATGAATAATGTAGGAACCTGATTAAGAAACCTTGGGCCTTTGTTAGGGCTCTTTACAATGAAGTCTACTATTTTAGTTGAGAAATCACGAGCCCCCAGGCCCTTCTTATGTAGATCATCTTGAAGCAGTTTCACTCGAAGACGTTATCACCGATATTTGGCTCAAGACACAAAAGAAGCGTTATCATCACTGTGTCTTGGAATCAGAGATTGCCCTGCAATTAACTGGTTAACAGCCTCAGCTTTGCTTGGTGTAGGTAGTGTAGGAGCCTACCGACGCCATAGCACCTTCCATATTGCTCCCTTAGGGTAGAGCTTGAAATCGGAGTGTCATTGGTCTGTGAGAGACCTACCCGCCATTCCACATCTCTTTCCATATTTGCACTGTTATCTGTACTCCCCGTGTAGGTAGAGCCAACCACCGGGTAGAGTCTGTCCTTCCTTCACATTCTTGCCAACCTCTGCCCCTGCTTAGGCACCCAGCCAACAGGGAGCTTTCCATATTGCTGAACCACAGAATCATTAGTGTATGCCCACGCCTGAGGGTTGGCCTACGCTTTGGGAACGTGTGGTTTACTTCTTCACAGAGCTGTACTACGATATCCGAATCTTCATCCTAAGGAGGTTCTTTCCTGCATACTTGGCTAGACGCCAACGTTGGGTTAGAGTCCGTGTGAGGTTGCGCAGGCTTGTGCGTAATTTGCTTCGCTCCTTCTACAGGAGAGGTGAGCTCACGATTGCCTTGTATCGCATTCATCACGCATCTCATCCTAGGTACATAGACGACACCGCCTTTGTACCAATCTATCTTCAGGTTCCTCGTTATTTCCCATAGCTGTTGTTCGTGTCTCCACTTCGTGTGTCGAGGCGCGCACTCTCTCCTCCGCCTGCTGCGTCGAGGAGACAGCTTGGACCATTCTCTAGGTACAGGGCTGATTCGGCAACTGCCAACAGCCCCTGCTATCCTCAACATCTTCCTTGACTTCCCGAACAGCCGGTGTCGGCACCTTGCCACCCGGAACACCCGAAATCCAATCACCTTGCCCAAAGGTCCGTTCACGACTTCAGGGTAGCAAGGCCTCGTGGTGATTGGAAGGATTAGCTGAGATTGAATCAAAGGTTCGATTTCTGGTTTCGGTTGATCTCATAAGATTTGGGATTCTGGAACAATCGAAAGCACTTCCACCTCTGCTGCCGTGTTGGCACACAGCCACCGGCCGCATCCTGGTTGGTTGTGGTTGGTTGTACTGTCGGTTGAGTGTGGTTTTCCGACGAAGTCACCTGCATCATCCGATAGGCCATCAGTTAAGCCAACGATTCTGGCATAGGGACAGTTAAGCCAACGATTCAGGCAAAGGGTAACATCAAGCCACAGTAGCGGCATTGGGGGATACATCAACTTCAAGCCACAGTTCCGGCACGGGGGTAAATTTGCAAGCCACTCTAACGGCACGGGGGTTTGCATTGGGACTTGGAGTTAATCGGCTTCCTCGTCTCACCCGTATATGCTGTCACCGGATCGCCGTGAAGAGCTTTTTGGACTTGCTGCGGCATTTGGAGCCGACACCCGCGCTTCTAGAGGTGGCCGGGCCGCCAACAATAAGCGCCGCTCACTTCATATAAAGCTGCTTCAGCTTTGGCGTGAGAGTTTGGAAAACCTCGCCGAGGAAGTATTCAACAAGCCTCCGGGGCAGGTGCCGGCATTGGCTGCCAAGTTCTTTAAAGTAAGCGCGCGGCTTACGCAGATCTCCGCGTCTGGGTACGTGATCTATAAGGGGACTCCTCTCCTTCCGAAGGAGGAGGAGGAGGAGGAGAGTCTGACTCAGACTCGGTGTTGCAGGAGCCCGTTTCGCTACAGGATTTGGCCGAGGTTTCTTTGGATTCTTTGGACACTCCAGAGCGAGCAGAGCCAGCATCTTCATCCGCCGAGCCAGCTTCTTCATCTTCCCACTTGGGCAGCTCACTTGAGCGCAGGTCGCGATCGCCTTCTGTTCGTGACCAGCCTGACTTCAGTGTGCTAAGTGGTTCCGATAGGCTAAGCTCCGGTAGGCCGCTTCCTCCTGAACCCCCTTCTGCTCCTCTTAGACCAGCGCTAACGCAGCACATTTCGGCAACAGGTCCCACTGCTGCGCCTGAGATCCCAGAACGGAGGCCCAAGCAGAAGGCCAGGCCAAAGCAGCGTCCAGTTGAGCCGTCTGGTCCGCCGCCCAAGCCACTTTCATTGCTCCGGTGCGACGAGAATCCACTTTATCTTGCTGCGGCAATTGATCGCGCGGTCGAAGAGCAAGGAGGCGTCACCCATATTCTCTCCCTTGATTACCACGGAGTTTTGGATAGGACCTTCTTGCAGTCCCGCTATCTTTTCGAGAACCTGTCTCGACGCAGCAATATACTGATCCTTGTCAATTCCAAATGTTCAACGGAAAGCTTGATTGAGCACGCGTTGGAGTACGTGCGCGAAGTGGCAGTGTCAGCGCGGTATAACGTGCGTAGCCTGCCGCTTCTCTTTATCAGGCGACCGAACAAGGCCCAGCGACTCTGGTCGGCGATTTCAGCTTCATCTTTGAGCGACGGGATCCCAGTCGTCCACGTGGACGACAAACCGTCAATCTGTGCTGAGTTTTCTGGCTGGGATCGCTACGGGTGGAAAGGCTTGGCACTTCACCCTGCCCGCCGCACAGAGCTGTGCGACCTTGTCCTTCCCGCCATCTCTGAGTGGTGAGGGCGCAAGGGATTGAAAAGAACACGGGAGTTTCGGCAGTCGCCAACCCCGCTTAAGTCCCCAATTGCTTGAATCATGTCCCACGAAATGTCGTCAGAAGAGCAAAGCTCCTTGCAGATTACTTCATCCAGTAGTGGGGTTAGGGCATTGCCGGTTAGAGCTTCCTCCAGGTCATCCCGAGGGTCGCGTAGTAGCCATAGCTCTTCCCCATCGCCAACAGTAAGAAAAGGACCTCACCTTAAGCAGTCCCCAGCCTCCGACAAAGGCCCAGGTAGTGGTTCGTTGGTGCCATTCGCCAACCAATCTCCACACAACCGGAGCCCAGATGATGGCCCCATTGTGCGCACAGGAGCTGCGCCAGCCCGGAGCATTCCATATGTTCCTACCGGCCAGGGTTCCCAAGGGTCTGGGGTTCAGGATAGCTCGGGAGTGAGGTTGTATCAACAAAACATCAGCATAGGACTTGATCCTAACGAGGTGATGGCTCAGGCTAGAGAGTTCGAGTCGACGGTTTATGGTCAGGCCCAAGCAGTGGTCCAGGAGGCCCAGGGTCAAGCGAGGGAAGAGGCTAGGCAATTCGGAACGCAAGTTGTCAATCAGGCTCAGACTGCGGTTCTAGAGGCTCAGGCAATCGCTAAGGCAGCAGCAGCCGCAGCAGTGGAACAAGCCAGATCCGAGTTGAGACTAGAAGTCCAGCAGCGTGAATTGGCATTCCAACAAAAGGAAGCTGAACTGATTGCGCAAATCCGTACATTACAGAACGAGGTCACTGTGCTTCGTCATCAGAGCATGCCTCCACCTTCGGACCCACCACCAAACATCCTCAATGGCACGGAGTTAGCCTCTACCATTGCTGAGTTAAGGGCTGAGGTTAATACATTGCGGGATTCCGTAACTAGCCCTCGAAGACCTAGATTACCGTTGTCCAGCGGCGTCGGCACTCGGCCACCCGCTGCCTCATACCAGCGAGCACCCGCTCCAATAGCACCATCGATAAGGCAGAATCCTTGACCACATCCTTCATGGCATGGTTCCCCGGTCAAACATGACCCGTATTCAGATGACGATTCTGATGATTCGGAATTGCGGTTAGACTTCGGAGGTCCACCAAACCCTTCTGATCCTAGCCCGCACGGTAGTGCCGGGAGCCATCGAAGCTACAATAGCCGTGGTGTCGGGTCAACGATGCTGTTTTCGGAAGATGATGTGTACAAGCACAAGGATTTGTCGTTGGTGAAAGTCGACTCTCTCCCTCGCGATGCTGCTCAGTTTAGATCCTGGAAGAACGCTTTTGTGACCAAGGTATGTGCCATTGATAGGACCGGTTCTGATACATTGCTTAAGTGGCGATTGCCCGCTTTCGAATCATCACAGGATGCGGACCTGTCAGATCCCCAGGGACTTCCGAGGTTTGACGCGCATTTGGCATCACTTCTTGCAGACCCGAAGCATCTCAACAATGAGTTAGGCATTCAGCTTCAGGGTTACATTGAAGGTTGTCAGCTTCAGTACACAGCCCCTAGGGGAAGGGTACTGTTGCAAATGGTTGCCCACAGATTCTTCCTTGACCAGCGCCGTGGAGC